ACAGCTGGAGGGATTTTACCCTCCTGGTGTCCTTTATGCCATTCATTGACTCGGGAGGGGTGAGGAGAGAGGTTGCCAGTGAAGACTGAGGGAAAAAAGTTGTTGAGTACCTCAGCTTTCTCCTCATCTGCTGCTGCCAGTTTGCCGGTCTCGCTCATGAGCGGGGGTACGCTTTCTTTGACCACCTTTTTCCGGCTGACATACCTGTAGAAGCCCTTCTTGTTATTTTTTGCATCCCTTGCCAAGTTCAGCTGCAGCTGTGCCTTGGCCTTCCTGACCCCATCCCTACACAACCGGGCAGCATTCCTATACTCTTCCCAGGAAGCCAGTCCCTGCTTCCGCTGCCTGTGCAGTTCCCTCTTCTTCCTTAGTTCGACCAGCGTCTCTTGCCTCAGCCATGCCGGTCTCTTCCCTTCTCTGCCCAACTTCTTACACTTGGGGATCGAGAGCTCTTGCGCTCTCTGGAATACATCCTTAAAGACCTGCCAGCTTTGTTCTGTTCCCCTGTCCCTGAGGACCGTTTCCCAGGGAGTTTGTTCAGTTTTCTCTCAGAATCCCTTAGCGATGGATGTCCGTAATCTGTCCCAGCAGTCTGTTCAAGGACTTCAGTTTCCTTGTAGCTGGAATATGTTAAAAGGAGGAGAATTCTGAATTATTTTCGTATCTGATTTTTCCGTTTGTCTTTGCAAGAGATTTTGAAGTACTTAAAGCTGTCATTATGTTCTCTTGTCTCCTGTCTTTAAAAAAGGCAGGTTCCTGCAGGATTACTTATAGGTCCTGTTTTCCAGGTCTGGGATCACTTCTAATTTTTTTTTACTTCTCATGACCCTTTTCAGTTCATTACCTCTTCTGTGTAGTGTAGCCATGAATCAACACTGACATAATACATTATAAAAGGAGACAATATACTGGGATGTATTAAATGCAACACTGGTGATGGATTACTTCATGGGAATGAAATTATTCCTCCCTTGCATTCAGCAGTGTTTAAGGAACCTCTGTACTATCCAGCTGAAAAACTGTGTTTGCTTCTGGACATCATCTTGTGAGAGTGAGAAAAAGCACATCAGTAGGCAAGAACCCAAACGAGAGCAGTCAAAATACGTGTTTGTCTTTATTGCAACAACAAGATACTGATGGCAATATTTAATGTCAGTCCTTACTGCTACCTACCCATTTCCTATCTTTAAGAAATGATGAAGAAAATCTTTGCTTTGCAAGTGACTGTTCTTCCTAGAGTGTAGCACCTTGCACTTTTTTTTTTTTTCTGCTACACTTCATCCCATTTTTAAAATCTTTTTTTTTGTGTTAGTCAAGGCTATTTTAAATTTGAATTCTGTCTCCTTTGAGAAAACGTCAGTGACTTTTGATTACGATAGTAGATGTGCTGTAGAAAACATATCAAACCAGTTACGAGAGTTAATCGGAGCCTGCTGTAACTTAGTGGTCAGAGCACTGGCTCTGTGGGATGGCCTGAAGCTCGCTCTCTACCTAATCTGAAGTGATGTAGGATAAAAATCAGTGACTCCAGTTCTCATGTGTCTTAATCAAGTGTTCCAACCATCAGTATACCACAGATATGGAATTTCAACAGAGTGGATCGTGCCCCTGTACTCGGCACTGGTGAGGCCGCACCTGGAGTACTGTGTTCAGTTTTGGGCCCCTCACTATAAGAAAGACATTGAGGTGCTGGAGCATGTCCAGAGGAGGGCAGCGAGGCTGGTGAGGGGTCTAGAGAACAAGTCTTAGAAGGAGCGGCTGAAGGAACTGAGGCTGTTTAGTCTGGAGAAGAGGAGGCTGAGGGGGGACCTTATTCCTCTCTACACCTACCTGAGGGGAGTTTGTAGTGAGGCAGGTGTTGGTCTCTTCTCCCAGGTAACTAGCGACAGGACAAGAGGCAATGGCCTCAAGTTGCATCAGGGGAGGTTTAGATTGGATATTCGGAAAAATTTCTTTACTGAAAGAGTGATCAGGCATTGGAACAGGCTGCCCAGGGAGGTGGTGGAGTCACCATCCCTGGAGGTGTTCAAAAAAAGGTGTGGATGTGGCACTTCAGAATATGGTTTAGTAGGCATGGTGTTGTTGGGTTGGACTTGATGATCTTCGAGGTCTTTTCCAACCTATGATTCTACGATTCTATGAAAATGGAAGTTTGGTTTAGAGATGCCTACTTTGAAACAGATTTTGCAGCCGTGAGCTTTAGGCTACAGATAAAGTGCATTGAAAGAGCTATTGTATTTGGAATAGGGTCTGTAAACATTATGTGAACAGGGAGCTCTTTAAGGCAAATACACTGGCTAGGGACCTGCCTTAAGTAGTTGACAATAAAACTGATAAAAGGATTCATCATTTCTAGCTCCCTCTATGTTTTCTTCTCTGTGGTATTAACAATTTTTTAACTTGCTTGAGAAAGTAGGCTTCAATGTCTTTTTTTTCTTTCAAAAAGAGAGCAGTGACTAAGCTTGCTTAAAAGTTACAACTACTGCGATGCTTGAGCTCCTGATCTCCTTTTCCTCCCAGCACATACGTGGACATGCAAACGCACACTGCACACCCCTCTTCCTGAGGTCAGTGGCTAGAAAACTGTCAGAGATATGAAAATCAACATTTAATTTCCTCATCTACCCAAGTGAGTTTAGATTTATATTCCTCTACCTCTCGTTGTAAGCACCTAAAGTCTATTGAGATGCAACTCCCTGTGCACTTTCCATGTGGATTTTATTACAAAACACATGTAAATTTCATATATGATCTCTAACATTACTACATCATTTTGGTACATTATTTCCAGTTTTCAATCCTCACTTTCTGATACCAGTTGTTAGAACAGCTTCTGTATAGACAGTTTTCAAATGTGAAGTCAAGGCGAACATAGCGTAGTTAAAATGCTGAATATACGTGTACATGCAAAGACTAAATTCCAGTCAAAAGATCATTGCTTGAAGAAGCACTTTGTCTGGCCTGGGATTTCCCAACTAGTTATGTATGCCAGCTCTTTAACACAAATTGAGATCAAGGGAATGCGCTGAACTCTGATTCACAGCCATTTATAATGGTCTAAAAAAAGCTGACTTGAAAGGCTGAGAGAAATCTAGATTAATCCTATTGAATCTGAAAGCGAGTAATGTATTGCTGCACGTCATCTTGGATCACGTCAGGAGTTAGATGGAGTGTGAGGTAGGTATTGGATTTAATAGGAACAGATAAGCTTCAGTGAGACTCAGTTTAAGTAGTGTGATGGAGAATGTTGAACTGTTTAATCAATAACTCTACATATTTCATTCGTTTCTTGATCGTCTGTTACAAATGAAAGTTCAGGGTGTTTTTCATTGTGTTACTTCTAAACACATGTAATAATTACTAGCCAAAGAAACCTTCTGGGTTTAGGCTGTGTGAAGAGCTCGCTAGAGCTCTGTTCTCCAGATGTTTCTGTATAGCAAGCTCCACTACGTCAGCAAAAGGAATAGTGGTTACCAGTCCGGGTGGGATAGTGATGCACAGCCTCTGAACAGCAGCTAAATGAGGGGACAGTGCTTTTTCGAGGCAGTTCTACTGTTTGAAAATACTTGCTGTTAGGCAGCATAGCTTTTGAGTGGATGGTGTTGGCACGGTTTTCATATGTTGTCATTCGCAAAATTGTATTGCTAAAACATCCACACATGCTGGAAATTTAAAAGATTTCAAAATCATGAGAAAATGAAGAATTACTGATTTCCAAACGAAGAATGATTCAGGCTTTACACCCTCCCTGAACTTTGCTTCCTTTGGACATTCCCAGCAAACGCTAAGGACAAGATTTGTCTGCCTGGAATTAGACACTTGTGTCCGAGTTTTTATGCTTATTTTTTGAGTCAAAGTAGAGAGCTATAGTGCAATTTGGTCCCTTCTAGATGGATCTATATAAGAGGTCAGTTAAATCAGGCTTCAGAGGTGTCTGCTGCTCACCGCTGACTTGACAGAATCTAAACGGCTATCCTACATGTGGATTTCTACACTGTAAACCTTTGGTGACATCCATTTCACGCTGAAGATACCTGCATGTGGATGTCTGCTGACATGGCTGATGTCTGTATCCTGTTATCACCGTGGAGGTTTGGTCTTGCCTCCAGTTAGAGAAGCACCTGGATGTCCTAAAAAGCCTGTGTCAGCCTTTCATGTGTGGAGGCCTTAGATATCCTAAAGTGTCTTAGGTGGCAGCAGTGGTGTCCATGGGGACAACTGCTTTGAAGCCGGGGACGGCAGAACCTCATGAGGAATTCAGCTGAGCAATTGCTCTCTATATACTTCAGGGTAAATTGAATTGCTCTCTAGGCTGCATTTTCCATTTCTACTGTAAGGGAGGCTTTGATACTTGGTTGCTGCGTAGAGCTACACCACATCTAAATTTAAGTGCCTTAAGCTTAAGCTGATCCTGCCTTTAAAGACCAAAAGGTTTTACTGACAATCACCATAGACCTTTCTCCCTAATTTTATAGAAATGAAAATATTATTACAAAGATAATATTCCATGTTTGATGTTATTTTAAAATCCCTCAGGCATTCATTCAGTGCATAAGGCATGTTTCTTCTTTGGTTTTCATTACCCTGTTCTTTACACAGTAAACTATTTAACAAAACAGATCAACAACTTGATTTTAAATCGTCTTCTGAAAACAAATGCTGCAGCTAAAAGTAAAATTAAGCTTGATTTTTCCTCACTTGCATAGAGGAAAGTGCAGTGTTGTGATGATGCTGTTATATACATTATAAACTAACAAACAAGTATTACTTTTAAATATGATCATCCATTTCAGAACAGGTGTTTTGCTTTGTCTCTTTTGTGTTATGACTGTAAAGCTCTGAAATCGTGTTAGTCTGCTTATTTTAATGAATAGCTATAAGCAGTCATAATTCCACAGTTTTTGTTTAAGGAAATCGGACTGAATATTAGTGGGAAATTTGCAAGTAAGTAAATAAATCAAAAGTTAAAACAGAATTTCTTTTTTACTACTTATGGAGAAAACATTTTTTTACCAAAATACGTGACTATCCTACAGAGTTCACAAGTTATTAGTCCAGTGATGATTAAACTTCAGAAATGTATGTCTATCTTGACCTAAACAAGTAGAAATTCTCTAACATATGTATTTATTTGTGTGTTTTACAATGTGAAAACTCAGTTTTCTACTGTAATAGAACTCTGTATCTTAAAGGCAATGTTTATGAAGGGTACAGGTCATTTCAGACACAGTGGAAGGAACACTCTAAGTCAGGAACAACATGGCACTTCCTCGCTTCTTGCTGAAACTAGAAAATGTGTTCACATACATTTATACATACCTATCTGCCTCTAATGCAGTTTCATAAGAAGTTGTACAATAAAAACAAGTAGAAGTTCATTCGATGGCAACAGTTCTGTGTGGAACAGTACAATGGAGAATTATTTTTTTAATTATTATTTTTATTTTACATATTAATGTCTACTACAAAGACCATTTAGCCCATATTTTACAGCACAGAAGAGGCTTTTTTATGTCTAATCCATTTGAAGACTGAAAAGCAGACCAGTTTTCCACTTTCTGTAAACAGTGCTCATTTGTATGCCTTTCATGTATTGAATGGGATAGAGCTTGTTATTTATCATTATGAAATGTTCATGTCCTTAAATTGTTGTTTCCCTGCCTTGCTTTTGCAGACTAAAACTGGTATTGCATTGTTGTATGATGAAGTATCCGAAAATGCTTATGACATCCGACTGAAGCTTACAAAAGAGGTATTAACAATTCAAAAACAAGATGTCGTCTGTGTTAGTGGAAGTGATCACAGTGCAAATGTAAGTGCTTCGATATCTCTGTGGTTTTGACTGTGAGACTTTAATGTCTTCTGCAGAGATCAGTTTATGGTGTTGCAGTGCAAGAGATTTTATTGGGTAGTAGGAATACATGTAATGATCAGTTGCTGGCTCTTTTGTGCATGCTTATATTTTTGTATTTAAAATCTTTTTTTTTTTTTTTTTTTTTGTGCATGCTTATTTTTTTGTTTTTAAAAATTTTTTTTTTTTTTTTTTTTTTTTTGTGGCCAGTGCTACATGTCCTTTATTCTGACATATGTAACCTTAACAGGAGAGAAAATCTCTATAAATAGTGAGATTACAACATTTCTTCACCAAATACTGTTAGGCCATTAAATGAAGAAAACCAAAAAGTGTTTCCCATTGAAAGCATTTTAAGAGTAAACGCATACACCAGGGTTTTCTTCATTTGTGTATCAAGCACTGACAGGATGTCTCTTCAAGGGCATGAGATAACACTTGACAGACACTTACTTCACTTTAATTCTTTTTCAGGCGCAGATTGGACTTAACCAGTGCCAGCATGTCTGTGGTGCTTTTTTTCCCCGAAGTTCTATTATGTTGGTTTTTCAAAGCATGTAGTGCCTCTAAGCTATAGAGGAATCTTTTGTATCACCATTTAATAAAGTGACTAGAAAAAACGACATTTTGGATAAGCAGTGCAGCAGTGGTGTCTAGGTTATGGACATCCACAAGTAATGTATTTTGTTTCCTTGTATAAACAGTGTTCCTCTTAAAACTAACTGTAGGTATCCCAGAGTTTACTGGGTAAAATAAATGTCATGAGATGTGCTGGTATTTGCTAGAGTGAACAATTCATGGCAGCCTCCCCATAGAGGGCCAAGGGGAAGCCTTTCTGCCTTCTAGCTGTATTGCACATCTTGTAAACAGAAAATCTGGCACTAGGGGACATCAGGTGAGTTTGTGATACTCTACTAAGAAGTAGGAGTGAAAAAGTATATAGTGGGTATCCGTATATGTGAGTATGTCTTAGAGTCTGCCTGTATAACACAGAAAGATGTTTCATTTCTGCTGTGGTAAATATTTATATAGATTGTTTAATATCGCACAAAAAATAATTTGAAATAGCATTTAGTAGTTAGAATAGTTATGTGTCAGTTTCAAAACTTGTCTGTGGAACTCCGTGGAACATGACTTGCTCTTAAAAATGTTCGGAAGTGTTGCGTTGGTTGGCAATGAGTAGGAGGCCACTCAAGTGAAGTGAAAGGCATGTCCCATTCTGCTTGGTTTGCTGAAACAAATATAAGCCTCAGCCAAAAATCATCAGGTTGCATGTACTTTCTACTTCATTGAAAAGCATGAAAACCTGCACCTTATAACTGCAGACATTGCTGGTAGTGCTAGTAAGTTGCATGCAAACTGTGGTTGCAAGAGTCAGGAAAATATCATGTGCAATGAATGGTGTCTGTGTATGTAAGTATACATGGTTACTCTGGACTCGATGGTGTTTAAATGCCTTGTGTATATAATTTCATAGAAAAAGAATCAAAGTTCTATCCTGTCTAGTCCCAGATTACTTCTTGACTGAATCAGCATAGGCTAGCTACATCTGAGAAAATGCTTATCAAATTTGTATGTGTATGGATCTTCACTCTTTGATCACTCAAAAAAAACCACCCCACCAAAAAACCCCACCCCACCCTCCCAAAAAATTGCAAAACAAAACAGAAAAAAACCCAGTAACCCCCACCACCCCAA